AGATGGCATATATTACGTAGCTTATTAACTTTGTTTTATAGAAAATTGTTGAGAATGTGGCAATGACGTTGAGCAGTAGCAGTGTTTGATTTGTGGAGGGAACAAGCTGCAATCAAATGCAAATATTATCAGAGGCCATCGTCTCAGATAACATTTGCATTAAACTAACGATGGCTATGTTTTGGAGTATAGCATTGAATACAAAGAGCTGTCTCACTGTCAAAACCTTACATTCAGAGTATAACAAGGTGGTTGGAGTATATAAAGTTCAAGTAAATTGTTAACGTATTCGCGTAGAGCCAAGTCATCACCGAAACAGCTTTTCCGTGTACATGTACGTCTCTGTCCAGTTATTACCGTGTAAAAGCAAGGCCGTATCATCAGCGCAAGTATAAATGTAACAGTAAATAATCTTAAATATGAAGTATTTAATAAAGGACGCTATCGATTTGGAACAGTTGCATATGTTACTGGTACTAATGATGGCCTAACACATCCCAATATGCTGCCGCATCTGTTTTAAGCCCAATAATCAATTTTCCCATCTTGGCATTATCTGTCGAAAGTACTAAAGAGGCCAGATTTCGGTAAGGGTACAGAAAATAAAGTGGCAGGGCTAAAGGCTAATCTTTTACTAGTATTGGCAAAGAAATCAGATCATTCGGCTAAGTCAGCTGCTGCAATCTTTGTGTTGACCGTTGGAAAATATCAGTGAAATGAGTGTCTGTGACTAAATGTAATGTAGTCGATTTAAAATCTGATTTTGTAAGAACATGATCCAGATAAGACTTGCTGTGTGTGAGTAATAGATGTGAGGCCACGAGCTGCAGTTTAAATTGAGGTACTCATGGGCTTGTTGATTAAATTTTTCTGCGGATATATTTAAGATAATGACGCCTTTAAAACGAATATTTGTTTTAGTTGAATTTGAGATGATAACGTAATTTAAACCATTTAAGAATATTATGATAATGTATAAAGAGGAAGACCGATAAAGCGCCGTAATAGATAGTTTAAAATTGCTCCAGATTGCATATAAAACCACCAGCCTCTGACATCAGGGGTTAGATATAATAATATGTGTTAGGATACACCCAACAAAAATTATGACACCTATATATTTTAGCTATGACCTGATAATTTTTAGAGTTGCTAAAATAGTACTGGACAAACTGATAAAGTGTAGGGCTAATGAAGCATGAATTCAGCCAAAATTCAAACAAGTTATACGAGACAAGATACGGCCTTCAAACCTTCAAGAAAAGAGCGTACTCCTTCCTCAAAGGCTGGTAACGCGCTTCTGACTCCTGAGTTGCAGGCGTTCATGGGCGGCGGTTTCAAAATATATATATATATATATTTTGATACTATTGAAAAACACCGTCAATGCATCAAAATTACAGTTACAGTTTTGCTTTAAATATTTATGGTCCCTTTGCTGTATTTCTTGGAACCTGTTTGGTCAGAGTTACTATTTTCTTATCCTAGTTGCATGATAGTTAAGGACTTCGTTGAGTTTTAAATATTATATTCTAAGCATTGTTCAGGTTTATAGCTATAGGCATCGACCCTGCCAAATGAATCAATTTCCTTTTCTCCAAAAATCTCTTATCTTCATAAATTTTGATGCCAGCATATATGCCAAAACAAACAATAAGGCCTAACCTGTGGTTGGAATTTATGATGAAATTTTATGCGATACCATTTTCGCTTTTTTATAGTGACGTCCCTCATTTGTGCTGGCACTGAAACAAGAAGAACACAGCAGATATAACAACAGTTGAAACCATCAACTGATCTTACTATAAGACGTAGATAACTCAAAGTGGGCAGCCCTTTAAGCGAATGATGGTTTGAACATTTTAAATTTGTGATCCCCTCATGATCATATTATATGTAATATTCCCCTTGGTAATAAAGTAAATAAAGCAGCAGAGCAGATATTGTGACCAAAAGTTTCCAGACAATAATACTCTTTGAATGTTGCCCGATGAAATATACCATGAAATTGTAGTTGCCGTCCATATTAACACAGAAGAACCTTTAGTAAAATTTATGACAAATCCGAATTTTAGTTTAGTATCACATGGTATAAAAATATTGAGTAATTAGCATTTGAGTAATTAGCATCACAAAGTTGTTTCAAGAACTCGCAATTTGTAGACACACTGCAATCGGTAGGCGCGCAAGTGTCAATGACCTCTCCATCGATATCGCATACTTCGCTACATTTTATTGATAAATAAAGTACCTAACATAACATCCAAATACTAAAACTTCACTTAATTAAATGCCATGTTTGAAATAAGTAAAGAAAACATAAATCTTTAGTGATATGTAGAATAATTAATAGAAAAAGCAAATAGATGTTAACATTACCACTACTGTTTTACATGTATTTTAATAAATGTTAAAAATGTAGTCTTCTTGATATCTTTTTATTTATTTTGACGGGGTGGAAAATCCCTTCGGATCTCCTGCTCCTCGGGGCTAGGAGCTAGGAGTATGTGGTGATTCCACTAAAAACCACCCCGACGGCCGGCCTCAGGTACTCTGGGAGGACCTGGCCCATGTTATTTCAGGTCCTCCCCGAATGGACACCATGCCTAGTCAGGCCCTATCCCAGGGGAAAATCACTTCCCCCCTTCGACGTGGCGGCCCAATTTCGTCTTAATGCAATCAGGCCGCCATCCTATCCCCTACCGCAACATTCAATCTGCGACCAGAGGTCCCCACTCTCTGGCGGCCCGCGGCCCCGTCGGCGGCTTGTATGGTCGCCGACGTCCTCTACGCTCGGGATTGGGCCCTCTCCCGATCCCGTTCAGCGGTCTCTTTATGGAGCATTACAGCTTCACAGAAAAAGACCACTGCGCCCCATCTCTCCTCACCCACCAGCATGGCAGCAATGATTGCTGGCGGGGACAGGTCTCTTCCGATTTGGCCGACCAGGACTTCGCGTTCAGACGCCCACGCGGGGCAGTCTTCTAACGTGTGCTGGGCGGAGTCCCAGTCGGCTGCGCAGTGCTGGCATTGTGCCGTCTCCTCGCGTCCGATACGATTCAGGTACTCAACCATGCCCAGTGAGTACCTGCGCCAGTCGATAGGTGACGCGACCTCCCTCCCTACCTATCCAGGCTCCGAGGTTAGGCAGAACAGCGCTGACAGCGCGTTGGCATGCATTCTGTGGCTGTTCCAGCCGCACGCGCCACTGCACCAGTGCCTGTTGGTGAACGTTCCGCCGGACGACACAAGCCACCCCTATCTCGGCGAGCTCAAGGACCTCCTGGAAGCCATGCCCCCCAGCCAGTACTAGAGTATCCTCTGCGTAGCAGACGACGCTCAATCCTGGGGGACGGCTGGTCCTCAGAACGGCATCATACGCGAGGTTCCACAGAAGTGGTTCTAAGACCGATCCCTGGGGAACCCCGCATGTCACTTCCCTTCGACATTCTTCGCCGTCCCGACACATATACGAGATAAGCCCCGATAATGTCTCGCAGGTAGGGTGGCAACTGATGATACCACGTGCCAGTGCATCCTTGATCGCCCACCACGGGAGAGAGTTAAAGGCGTTGACTATGTCAAGACTGACGGCCAACGCCACTCCCCCTTGACAGACAACCTCTTCCGACAAAGAGCGGACGCGTTCGAGGTTTTGGCCTACTGTACCACGTTGTACACATGGGCCAACCCATGTGTTATAGGGTTCGGGTCAAGTTTCCATTCTCTTTGCAGTGCTATTGTTCTTCGTAGTTTCTTCCCTTAGTCGGCTCTTACGACACCCACATGATGAATAGGAATAGGGAAGAGATGAAACAGATTAAGAATACGGAGAGTCACACTCCCTTTTCTGAATCCGTCACCAAACCGTCCGAAACATATATATTTATAATATATTATAAAACCGCACGCCGTCTACAGGTACCAGTAGTCGGGGAACCAGGTATACCCTAGAAAGGAAGTCCCTGGTACCCCAACGTACGTCGGGCTATCCACGACTTATAGATAACCCCGTGTGGGAACCCCAATATTCTCTTCCTGCCCCCCAAGGGCGTACGCGCTCCGTAGCGCGTCACGCTGCCACCCACCCCGGCCTGCTTCAGCTAAAGTGACAGATGGCCTCACCTGTCACCCCCAGGCTTGCCGTTATGGACGGAGGTCGTTCTGCGACCTCCAGCGCCTGAGTCGTCTGCGGTACTTGGCCCGTTCCTGGGCCTGGCAGGCCGGTAGAGTTCTGAAACTCTCCCGGTTCCTAACCGCTATTTCCTTCCTTCCTAAACCTAAGGAGACGGCGGAGTTCCACGCACTTTCTATCCGTACCTTTTTTTATTTTATTTTTTAGATGTGGAAACCCCCTGATCACCTGCGTCACCCTGTTCACGAAAGCCTCTCAGCTTTCGTGATGCCTCTCGAGCCAGTCCTCCATAACGGGTTTTACCCAAGGTCAAACATACCTGTCACTAGTACTAGCTGTTAAATAAATTTTATATTTTATCGGTATGTTATATTTAAATTAGTCAGTAAATTTCAACATATTAGTTTTGCATACTTTAGACTATTTGCTAACGTAAGATACTGTGTGATAAAAGTTATATGCGGCGAAGTAGAAAATTATATTATTATCTTTTTTTAGTCTGCATCATTATATTATTATAAGAATTTAATAGCTGACAAGTATAGAATAACATTTTTGATGATAAGAATATACATCAAAACCTTTATTTACTGCTGACGACTGGATGGCGTAGTGGTTTGTGTAACGGACTGCTATTCCAAAGGTCGCGGGTTCGATTCCCGCTCAAGTCAAACATTTGTGTGCATGAACATTTGATGTTTGATTTGGTCTGGGTGTTTCTATGTATAATATGTATGTATTTACAAAAAAAAAAAGTATATATGTATTTATATCAGTTGTCTAGTACCCATAGTACAAGCTCTGCTTAGTTTGGGACTAGATGGCGTTGTGTGTATGTGGTAGAATATTATTATTATTATTATTATTATAAGAACAATAAAAACTCAAATGTTATAGCCATTCCAACCTCGATTAAATTGAATTCACCTGAAAAATTGACGTGATTTAAGAAATGTAATATATGTTATAGAATATTTTTAAACAATAGTAACTTACAATATAAGGGTGGGACTGTTGAACTAGGCTCCTGACGTAAAGTAGTGGTCCATAAATCATACTCTGGTACCCACTCGCTTCTATCAAGTGGTTCAAAGCCGAACCCTGTCATATCCGATGTTCCACGATATTCGACTTTTTGCATATTAAAGTCCGGATAGTATTCACCTTCACGCCATTTCCACTCGTGGATGTCTAAGAAATCCATTGACACTTTGTGACCCCATGCTGCTAACTCAAAAAGACATGTGTCCCCAAATGTTATGATTATTGATAATTCAAATTCTGAGCCTGTTAACAATAAATCAAGAAGCTTATTATGTTTTATTCTATTAAAGTATATTTATGTATTTTTCATTGGAAGTGTGTCGTCTAACAACACATACAATTTATTATTATGCAAATAGATATTGTGAAATTATCTATTATTGGTATTTTTTCATACTTTTGCGTTGAGCCGTTTTAGAAATCTGAGCAATCCGAAAATGTTCCCGTGTTACTGTTTTTGCCGAATAACTTTAAGACTACAATTCAAACAAATTTCGCTGTTGGTGAACAAATTACTATTGATGATAAACTAACTGTATGTTACACTCTCACCTCTTGAAAGCGCAACTTTTATGAAGGTTTAGTGCAGTAACGTGCACACTCTTACTTATAACTTTTTTCTTTTGAAAACTACTAGTCACACTAATGAAAAGAGTCATGAGTTCTGTGATAAAATATCATCTCATGATGTTCATTTTTTTAGATACTTCCTTTTTTTAAAACTGGGTCTACACTTTTGGGCTCGCACATTACAGAATTATTAAATAGTGGAAATATATATTGGAAATAAAATAAGAATATATTATTTTATTTCAGTACAAAATCACAAGGAATAATTTTTAATAAAAATATTTCTATTTCTCTCAAGTTCATACATTTCGACGTGAAATTAATAAAAAAGCGATGTGTCAGTCTTTAAACAAACGTCAGTGTCAAAGTATAAATGTCAATATTGGAAATGCCGCCGAAATACGAATGTGCAAGTGAAATTATTTTCTGGTTTTCTGTTTTTGTGTAGCATTTTAGTGTTTTTTTTACCGGGTTTGAATGCTTACTTACTTTATTGCTTCATGCAAAAAGTATTTCGCAAATAACATAACCTACCCTAGATTCGAGGTCAAATTTCTTAATTATGCAATTGTCAATTAAATTGAAACAATGACAGTCTCAAATTATATTTTAACGTAGTTAATGGCACTACTTGTAACGATTCATCATGATGTAGGCCCAACGATGTATAAGAGATGAGCATTCTACTTTCGTAGCTTATATAGTAATATTTTATTGATATTTTTCTACTTACTTTGATGTCTGTAGCAACTTGCGCCTCCCGCTGCTCTAGGACATTCGTGTATAATACGCATTTCTGAAGTGGCGGATGCATTTATTAGTTCTACTGTTAAGCAGGTAAACTCTACGTTTTCCGTAATCGTGAGCTGTAAAAAAATAATAATTGTAAAACTTATTTACATCAACGAAGAGTATTCTAGCGCATTTTTATATAAGTAGGTATTTAAATTATACGGGATCTGATAACTAGTCTATTGATACATCTATCAATAGAAAACAACATTACACTTTCAATAACCATGTGAAGACAGAAGAAATTTATTTTTATAAACTCTCAATTCCTGTAGGAATAATTATTCTTCATGAATTGAAGTACTTAGGTATATATTTAAAAGTATTACTATGGAGTTTAGTTGTTTATTTACGATATATAAAATAAATGAAATGAATTATGCCAGCAGTAGTAGCATTTCATAACATTTCACGTAGTGAAAAATTGTGGGAGAGCCTTGCTTCGGCATAAAAAGGCTGGCTTGACTAAATTGATACCACGTCCTCACAGGAAATTAGCGTCAAATATTTTTTTGTTTCATTTCACCAAGTGAGTGAAGTTACTGAAGGTTCATCCTCCCCCTGTAATTATGGGCAGGAGAGAGGGATGTGTGTGTAGGTGTCTATCACATCACACATCAACAGCATTTACTAGTCCACTGCTGGACATAGGCCTCTTCTTACAAAGTAGGTTTAGGTAGGTAGGTCTCTATGAGCGGCGTAAATAGTAGATTACTATCAGATAAACCGTCTCTTCGGTCGCCCCTAAACCATAAAAAGTATAAACCTACTCACATTATATTTCACACTTTGTTCATCTTGGTGATTAGTACGCATGCTGATGACTTCTCTGTATAATAAATTTTCTTTCTCTTCTGCATCACAAGCACCAAACCTTTCAAATAATCGTTTTCCTACTAGCTCTGGAGAAATGCCGCCACTAGTTTCATGTGCTGCATCTAGAATAACATCAACAACAATTCCGATACTTGTATTTTTAACACTGATTTGTTGAAGGTTTCAAAATTATATGTCTATATAATAATAATGATAATATTATTATTTCGGACATCTGACACACAACTCCATTTAGTTTCAAACTAAGCAGAGCTTGTACTATGACAGTTAGATTAACTCAAATCGTGTCATAGACGTTTTAGTTACCGATTTTTTAACACAAATATGCATTATTTCTCTAGTGACCCGCTCGGTTTGCGATGAATAACATATAGATATGTCATCCGCTCTATATTAGGTAAACTTATACACAATCTTGCATGCATACATAAAGACATAGGCAAATATTTATTTACTGCGTTCCAAAACATGCCTTAAAACGCATATAATGCGGTATGGGTGGAGGACTACAAAAAAGTCGAAGAGTTTCGTTTAAGACTTGCTGTAATACTCCTCTACAAACCTGCCTTACAATAGATTTATATACTGAACTACTACGTGCTTATAACTTAAGCTTAATATTGATCAGTTCCTTACATGTCTATCTAATTCATGATGGTATGTGATGTACGTGACGGACGTGTCATCACACTACAATATAGGGCAGTCAAGGTGTATGAATACCTTGAAAAATAAGCATACAACTTGAAGATATGGTATGATTTTGACATTATATGTACATAATTAAAAAAATATTGACTTGGCATTTTTAATGATCTCAAAGATATATAAAATAGATCTATTGCCTATTGAGGAAAAGATCGAATCGCGATTTCTGTTGTTAATTGTTTACTAGTATCACCGAGTGCAGCAATGTTTTCGGTAAGTGTAAATTCTTTGGTCCCCTTTTGTATCTAATCACAATATAATTATTTTCTGGCTATGCAACCGTGAATATAATAATATTGACAAACTTACATCGTAATACATATTTATGAGGATTTAATTTGGAAATGGTGAATTCCCTGAATTTAGAGAGGCTGTTTTCAATCCAAGGATAATAACTCATCATGTCAAGATACCGTGAGGGTGCCCCGCATCCTGGCCCTCGCACACCTACGCCAAGCTACATGAAAAAAAAAAACAACCAAAGACATTTTAATTCGAAGAATACATCAAAAACAATAAAATTAAGTTATTGTTTTTGGTGTTTCACTTTATTTTTAAAATCAATTAGCAATATTTTATACTTTATTAAATGTTAGTAACGTCACAGTGAGTACTTCAACTATATATGTATATAGGACTAACGCAATAGAAAAAACGTTCTCTCCACTTTAAGTATGGGGGAAGTTCCGCAAAAATATATTTTTTTAAAGATTTTTTGACCAGTTAGATGGTGTGATAGCCATGCAATATTTGAGCTAAACCGCTGGTGGAGAGGTTTAGTAACGGGCAGTCAGGCGGATTTGTCGAATCAAAAGAGTGTTATTGCTACAAAACCTTAAAATAAAGAGTAATGTGCTGACCAATAAATACTTATTGGTAAGCACATTACTTGAAAACGGAGAACTGAAAATTAGTACTGGCACGGACCATATATGTCCATGATAGTAAATTCTGACGGTCCATCTATTTTGTGGGACTCAGAGTACAACGCTCAACGTTGAGATGCCTACTAGGTTACCTACAATAGGTAGTTTCTCTTCTCTTTGGTACCATAAATAACCTAAAATAAAGTGATCACCACGTCAGCGCCACGTCATATATGACCATCATCACAGATAACGTAGTCAGGGATATATGACATCGCCTTGTGTTGCACGTACAACAGGTCAATAGTTGTAAGCCTCAAAAAAGTTATAACAAAAAGACACAGCATACACAGCACACAACTTAACATAAGTTATAAAAAATAATAATAAAAAATAAGTAAAAAAAAACAAAGAATACAATTTAAGATATGATTAGGTGTCATACAAAATGTATTCTTTGTTTTTTCCTTCAACATAAGTTGTATGCTGTGTCTTTTACAGTTATATTTTATTAGTTATACATTTAATAAGGTTTTATTTTATTTTTATTTATTTATTAATAAAACGGTATTCATCATCACCAACACCACTCTTTAATGCCAGTAAGGTTGGTGAAAGGCGTGTGTCAAGTTTTTCTTTACGAAAAATTGTATTAGCAAGTCATAATGTATTGTTTTTTTATAATTGTACTAATAAAGTATTAAGGTAAAAAGATGAGAAGATTTGGTGAAATAATCGGGTTTCTTGGTAAACTGGTGGTAAAATGAGCGCTTTTTATCCATGACATAATATCGACAAGAAATTATCTTAGCTGTTCTGAGAGTCAGCTAGAAGCTAGCTGGAAGTATTTTAAGAATGGGTTTACCAGCTGCCATCTTCCCCAAGAGTCTCGAGATACCAGGGCAGCTCCAGCGCTCCACACGCAAACTTCTTTTGTTTTCATTTCTACCGCACAAGTCACGTATGGTGGACGCATCATTTTACTATACAACTGAAAACAGAAAGCTATATAAAAAGAGATCACCAAATCCGACTTCTTTTTCTGCAGGCTAGTAAATATTTTTTAATCACTAAACCACGGTTCCAGGCTAATTTATTAAATTACATTTTAAATCATACATTATTAGGGTTAGAGTATCTCCGCTATCAGCAGTGGAGGAACCGACTCAGCGGGCAGTCACACTACAATCGAGTAGAAAGATGGGAGCTTTTTTTTTCTTGCCTTCTGCGTCGTAACGGTATTGTAACTCTAAAGTCTTAGGATTTCTATTAGTATGTGTGCATTAACATATATTATTAGTAGTGTTTGTGATGATATTACTAAATCTGAGTCCTTTTTTTAAACTCATGACCCTGCGACGTCGATATTAATTTGGCAAAAATATTATAAACAGCTTTAAGTTTCAGAGGAGCACACATAAATAGGCTCAAAATACTAACATTAGCTGCAACGTAGAAATCTTTACACATTTTACCCGGGATATGAACAACCCTGATTACTTCTTTCTGTATTGTATCAGCGTCTGAAAAAAAGTTTTTTGGTTATTATCACACTGTAGGCATAAAAAGATATTTAAAAATAACTTTGAAATGGTTTTGGTACTTTTATTAATGTTGTGGCAGCAAAGATTTTATACCTGTATAAATTCTCACCTGCGGAAATATACCAGATAAAAGAAAATAGTCGTAAAATTTCGGAACGTGAAATCTAAATATGGCAAAAAAGACCAGAAAATATTTATGTCTACAAATTAGCACAATGAATTATTTAATAAAGCTTTCGAAGTGCAAGACCTCCTTAATCTACTTAAAAAAAAAACTCATAAAAATCTTACACAAATAAAACTATGATATAGATAAAAGAGAAAGCTAAGAAAAAATCCAATCTATGCAACGGGCTATCGTCTCCGGTATTTCCAGACCTATACGACCTTCAAACCTTCAAGAAAAGAGCGTACTTCTTCCTAAAAGGCCAGCAACGCGTTTGTGACTCCTGAGTTGCAGACATTCATTAGCGGCGATGGTCACTTTCCATCAGGTAACTCGTCTGCTCGTCTGCACCCTCTAACATAAAAAAAAGTATCAACGTCACTATGTTATCCTTTTTTTGTTGAGGTAAATAAAAGTTGAGGTAATAAGTAAGTATCTATCTTAATTTTACATGCTTATAGAAAGAAAGTCATATAATTTTAGATACATATCTATCTTCATAAAAATATGTGTTTATGTAAACATGTTCTACTTCTACAATCAGGTTTTAACATAGTTTACAGTGCCCTGCATACCATATCTAGGTTCTTACACACTGAACACTGAACTGAACAGTTTTGTCAGCGTACCTGCAAGTATACAGCAAGTTTTTTTTTTAAATTGTGTTTGTGTACCTATAAAGTATTTTAAAGGTTTAAAAAAAAAATACAATATATTTGTATATTCCCTTCTGTGGTCGTTCCTTCCTCTAATTTTTGTGTAGATGGTTCTCGCATTCATCATCGACAGCCTTTACTAGTCCACTGCTGGACATAGGCCTCTCCTTAGAAAGGAGGTTTTGGCCTACTACACCACGCTGGCCAGACGGCGGCGGTTTTGTTGGCGGTTCTCGCATTGCCTCTTTAAAAAAAGAGCAGGTTCTCAATTCACCTGTATTAATTTTTGTATGTTTGTACGCGATATCTACGACAATTGTAGACCGATTTTCAAAATGATTTTTGTAATCGAAAGGGTATATTTCCGAGGTGGTTTTGTTTCCACCAAATCAGGATCTGATGATGTGATCCTAGAGAAATCGCGTGAACCCTTAAATCTTACAGCCCCGACAACATGTTTTAGCTTACTTTTCTTGAAATATAGATATTTGCGTTTGGTAAGCGTTATCTCATGTTGCTGATCTGATGATGGAAGGGTCTTTGACCATTAAGATTTAGAGGATAACTCTTTCAATAATATATTCATGTATTGATCTTATTTTATTTTTTCAAGATATTTGTTAGGTGTTCGTGTTGGGTTACAGAGATACATGAACACAAGAGAGTAACACAAAAAAAAAATGTTTGTTACGCTATTATTTTCATATGTTTTACCACAAAAATCTTTTATATGTAAACTGAGTTTTTTTTTATTTGGAGGGGTATATTTTACATTGTGAAGAAAAAATATCACTCCTTGTTTCGGAAAATTAAGTAATGTGGAAAACAATATTCGGATTCAAATGTAATATCTTACTACCTTATCTAAATAAAGTAAAGGACTTATTAAATTTTGTTTAATATAATCTAACATACTCTGTTTGATAATATACATTAGGTACGTAGTGTTTTAAATTTCGCACTTATCTACTCATTACAAACATAAATTACACTAAAAATTGTAAAATAAATTCTTTTATAAAAAAGTTAAACCGACTTCAAACACTACTGCCAAGGGCACTAAAAATAAATAATAACTACAAATATAAGTAAAAAAACTATCATAAGCACACTCAATATAACAGGTAATATTATAATAGCAATAGTCCCAATAGTAGTTGGTGCCAAGCCCGATGCACAATAAGTAATACTGGTCTAAGTCAGCTTTATAGTAGCACAGTAAAGAATTAAGAATTCGATATAATTCTAATGAAATATAACAGGTTTTGTTAATTAATAAAGACGAACCAGATCCATTACGTACGCAAACTTACTAACTACTTAATAAAGCATTCAAAATAATAATATCATTTGAGATGTGCGTAACCCTCTTTGGCACGTTCAGCATATTTTGCGCAGCTTGAAGACTCTTGCAGTCACCGCGCTACATTCACCAAGCCTATCAAGCACCCATTTCACTTTGCACCGACTTAAAACAGAATACTTCTATTCTGTTTTAAGTCGGTGCAAAGCGAAATGGGACTATTGCTATTATATGCTATATTGAGAGTACTTATTATAGTTTTTTTACTTATATTTGTAGTTATTTTTTATTTTTTTGTGCTCTTTGGCAGTATTGTTTGAAGTCGGTTCAACTTTCCTTAAAAGGATTTTTAATTTACACTATCAGCGGATATTCTTTGAATATATTGTTAAACACCAGCGTTCGCGAGTTTTTTGGCTTTAGTAAACATTGAAAAAAAAAGTTATTTATGCATTTCTTGGGAATGGCACTTGTTTTGGATTCTATCATCCAGGAAGTACTACTTACTATGTTTTGTTATATGCCACTGACAATATGTAGGTTTTATTCATAAAGATCACAAAGGGACAAGGTAAATTAGAAATAAACAAATTTAAGATGCTCACATCAAACTAATACTTACCATATTTTACCTTCACCACGTAAAACTCAGGATTTTTTAGAAAATTGGGTGGCGGGCATAGTGGGCGAATGGTTGCTGTAAAAAACATCCAACACTTTTAAACAACCTCACTAAAAGGTTAGCCTGTAAACTATACATATATATATTACTATATATATTACAACAACCTAGTTCGGGCAAACAAACAACAACTGTATTTCATTTATAAATTAGAGAACCATTTATTTAAATTATTATACTCTTTATCTAAATAAATATAATTATTATTATATTATTTAAACGTCATCATCATCATCAGAAGCTTTTAATAGCTGATGGACATAGGCCTCTCCTTAGAAAGGAGGTTTTGCCTACTATACTACGTTGGCCAGACGGGTTGGTATAGGGTTTTTTTCAAGTTTTCCTTTTCTTTGCAGTGCCGTTGTCCTGCGTAGTTTGCTATCTAAGTCGGCTCTTACGACACCCATGGGGTGAAAAGGGGTGGTGACACTCCGTATTTTTAATCCGTCACCACCCAACTAATATTGACGAATATATATTACCACTACAATCGTGTTAAATATTTAGCTTAGAACATAATATAACATTAGAATGGTGCCTTACGATTTCTTACGTCATCTTTGAGCTGAACCAAACAAATAGTATTATATGTCTCTCCATACTCAGGATGAATAACGTAGTTGCGTACGCGACGTCCTGGGAACTTCCAGTCTTCGCCAAGTAGGACACGGCTTCTTTTTCTGAAATTGAATCGATATTGTCAGATATTTGGCCTGTAATCTTCAACAGGTAGTACAGCCAGTTATATATTTGGTGAAGTATATTCTACATATAATTTGTATCTTTCCATAAAATGTATTGTTAAACTGCTTTGTTTCTTTTTAACCAGTGAAATCATTGACGAACGTAAACAACACTTTTTTTACAGTATCGTTGTGTTTATTAGAATATTCCGTAAAAGGTTACTTCCGTGTGAACCGTGTTACTTAAAAAAATATGGCCATCTCCTGTTTAGCTGTAAATTCGTTTAATTAGACTGTACAGCGTAGTGGTTTAAGCGGTCACCTTTTTTTTTTTGTGCGAAAATCCCCTCGGAAACCACCCACCGGTGGCTATGGCAGACTCGAACCGTCTAAAAACCGCATGCTGTCTCGGATACCAGTAACCGGGGAACCAGGTGTACCCTAGAAGTTAAATCCCTGGTACCCCGACGAACCTCGGTCCATCTACGGCGGGTAGATGACCCCCTCCTGGGTGCGAACTCCCATGTTCGCCTGAAAGGGCACGCACGCTCCGCAGCGCGTCTCGCCGCCACCCGGCCTGCTTCTGATAGGGTGACAGATGGTCTCATCTGTTACCCCAGGCCTGCGCTTATGGAGGACGGAGGTCGTTCTGCGACCTCCGGTGCCTGAGCCGCCTGCGGTACCTGGGCCTGGCGGGCCGGGAGAGTTCTAAACTTCTCAAGCATAACGAGAAGAAGGAGACGACGGAGTTCCACGCACTCTCGCTCCGCACCATGGCCACAATCATGTTACCGAGTGAGGGAACTCCCACCTCGATGGCCTCTGCTCGACCCACGCCGGGTATTCTGCCAGCGTGTTGTGCGCCGCGTCCACGGTCCGGACATCGCAGTGGTGGCACTCAGGCGTTGACTCCTTGCGGATCAGACACAGGTGATCCCCGAAGTA